GTTCTAAGGGCCCTCCCAGCTTTGACACTCTGTGTTCTAAGGGCTCTTCCATACTGATATTCTGCCTTCTAAGGGCCCTCCCAGCTCTGACATTCTGTGTTTTAAGGCCTGTCCTAACTTCATGTTCTTTGTTCTAAAATCTTTCCCAGTTCTGAAATTCTTGTTTCTAAGATGCCTTCAAGTTTTGACGTTTTCTACATTCTAAGGTTCCTACTGATTCTAATATTCCATATACAATGTTTGGATAATAAATTCTTTGTTTTAAGGTCCTTTCCAGCACTGATATTCTGTTTTCTAAAGCCATTTTAACTCTCACATCCCATAGTCACACATTTTATGATCTAAAAGGGCCTTCCAATCCTAACATTCCATAAAAGAATGGTCTGAAACAGCCTGGAGACAGGCAGATGCTTCACTGCTCTTGCAAAGACCCTTTCAACTCAGGAATCCTTTAGGTTCCTGAAAAGGCTGGATATAATTGGACCAGTACTTGGTTAACAAAAATTCTGATGGGAAAAAAGGACCTGTCAGGGGGCCTCCATGATCTTCTCAGTGCACAAAACCAGTGAAAAAGGGAATAGGAAGGAGTGAGTGGGTGAGTGAGAGGTTAGGATGGGAACAGGGGAGGGGGGGTATGCATAGTGTGAGGAAGTCAGGTCACAGGATCTGTTTTCTAGCCATAGGCTCTGGGAGGCCCCACATCTGGGCAGCTGTTCACAGACTGCACTTGTGGGCTGTGTGGCTCTGCACTCCCCTAGCTCATTAATCACGCCATAGCTGGCAATCGGCACTCACATGGGGACAGCTGACTCAGAAACTGCCCCTCTAGGGGGGCTCTGGGCCAGCACGGGAGTGGAGGGACTAATCAATTTTCCTTGATTAGGAGCCACCAGGTGTTAAAAGAGATACTAGCTGTCGATTTTCTCTTGGTATTGTCTCTCCCATCAGGCCCTCCCTTTTCATTCCCTTAAATGGGGAAACAAAAATTGAAATCAGAAAATTATAGTCACAGAATGTCAGAACTAGAAAGGCCCTTAGACTGTAAAGTGCCAAGAGGCAGAAGGAATCTGAGAACAAAGAATGTTGGAACTGGAAGGGCCCTTAGAACACAGAATATCAGAGCTGAGAGGGCCCTTAGAACAAAGAACGTCAGAGTGAAAGGGACTGTAGAATACAAAAGCCTGATGTTGGACAGAGACCTTTCACTCTGATATTCTATGTTCTCTGGACCCTTCCACCTTAATATATTATGTGCTTAGCAACAAAGTAGATGCCTTTCTAAAGAGGAATGACTAAGCAAAATATGGGACATGAACATAATGGAATTACATCTATACTCTGTGTAAAGAGATGAAGAATTTGAGAAATACAGAATCAGCATGGGAAGATTTATATACACTGATGCAAACTGGTATTAATCAGAACCAGTAAAACAATATACACAACATGCCAAAATTCAATGTTCTCAGGTGACTTCCAACTTGAACTGTCATCTTACCATGGACCAACCTTAAGAACCGAGGCTTCCTGACAGAGACAGGGGATCTGGCCCTTTCCATTGACCAACACTCACAGTGTCCTGAGGAATAGCTGGGGCTAGGGTACAAGGAATCTGGCATCTCTCTGCCATTGAATCAAATCCTGAGGCACCACAGAAGAAGCTATTTTAACCTTTCTCCCCACCAACAACCCACTCTTGCAGAATGAGAATTGACCCACTCCAAGCATCAGCCCACACCAGAGACCAAGAATCAGCCCATTCTAAAGGCAGCAAAATAGAGTTAGTCAAAGGAGAAACAAAAAGTGCATTCCATTACCTCGGCAGGCAGTCCCATTCTCCACTGATTCGTAGCCAGCCTTGCACATACATCTCCCGATGGGCACCAGCCACTCCCCATCCCCATTGCAGTAGAGTTTAATGGGAACGTCTACCTCTTCAGCATTTGGGATGCAGGTGCCCCGAGCAGCCACCAAAGATGTGCTCTCAGCCCCGGACAGGGTCTCCTGGAAGACAGCCCCATTCTGGATCACACGGGGGCACTTTCGGTAGAACACACGGACGGCAATGAGGGACATGCAGCCACCATAGTCTTGAAAGGCTAGGTAGAAGCCATTCCTGGAGACAGGCCCAAAGCTCCGAACCTCTGTGTTAATTTTCATCACCCTTCCCCCAAGATCCACCTGGGAAAAACTTTCATCTGCTGCAATTGTATCCACTTTGACCCATGGGTTCTCCATCCAGTTGGGAAAGGTTTTGGTGGCCGAGTCAAAGTCGGCTTCATAGTAATAAAGGTTGAAGGTCTCCTTGCAGGAGCCAGGGACGTTGGGGATGCTGCTACAGTCCCGGACAGAGAATTTCATCTCCACGTGGATACGCTGAGCTCCTCGTCTCCGGATGTATCTGGTACGGAGCCAGTTGTTCTGACTAGACTCAAAGACGTTGCACACCTGATAGGTCCGGATGGTGTTCATGTTTTCATTGTATCCACTCACTTCCTCCCACTGCACACAGGACACAAAGGGAGACATCAAATTAATTAACATCTGGGAGTGGGGATCTATGGATCGGATAGACTATGGGCTTCTTTAAGGTGCCTAATAAATAACAGATCTTGGAAAGTAATTTGGAGTCAGGCTAGACAAGTGACTAAAATGTCTGCACTCTTTTACTCAGAGATCCCATTACTAAATATATACAGCAAGGAGGTCAAAGGCAGGAAGAAAAGTCCCATGTACACTAAAATATTCTGTCCTTGTAGCTAAAAAAACCCAACCAAGCAAAAACAAACAAAAAACCCCAAAAAAACCTGGAAAAAAAAGTGGGCACCCATTGATTGAAGCTAAACAAATTGAGATATATGAATAAAAACAGAATATTACTGTTCCACAAGAAACTGTGCAAAGTATCCCAAATCCCCAAGGTATCTCTTAGCCTTAATGCTAAGCATTTAAGTTAAGACTTTAGGGACATTTGGTATGCGAAGAACTCAGAGGATCATGGGAAGACTTATATGAATTGATGTAGAGTGAAAGAAGAAGAACCAGGGAAATCATCTACACAATGACAACACCATAAACAAAGAAAGACAAAACAGCACTGAGTCTGTACCACTATAATGATCAAGGGTGGTTCTGGAGGAGAGCTGAGAAAATATGTCTTCCTTTCTTCTTCTTCGCAGAAGTGGCGGACTATGGGTGTGGAATACTGCATATGCTGTCAGGCAATACTGATGTTTTGGTTGGTTTTGCTAAGCTGCTTTTTGGGGGCCTGGTTCTTTTTTATTCTTTGTTACAAGGAATAGCTTCCTTCTTAGGAATAGGGGAAAGATTATATTTGGAAATAAAGGTAATGTGTAAATGAAAAACATAAAAAAAATTTTAAATGACTGTTGTATTAATAAATAGATTCTGAGCACTGTGGGAGACAGAAGTCTTGGAGGCAGGATAGGTAGCCTCCACAGCATTATCCTTAACATCTTGGCTGCTGCTAGGAGTCCTCCTACCTCTGTTCGTACAATGACAACTCCCATCAGGGAGTTCCAAGTCTGATAGAAAAATCATAGAAACATAGGTTCATAGATTTGGAGCTGGAAGGGTCTTTAGAGGCCATTGAGTTCAACCCTCTCATTTCACAGATGAGGAAACTGAGGCACACCGAGATTACATGACTTGCCCAGGGTCACACAACTAGTAGGTGTCCAAGGGAAGATTTGAACCTAGGGCTTCTTGACTCCAAGTACAGTGCTCTGTCCTATACCATAGTACCATAGTCCGACAGGAGAAGCCTGGCCACCAGGTCTCAGGAGGCACCCAGGGAGAAAGGGAAGATGCAACCCCTGCATCTGTGTGGGGAGGTTGCTTTAGGGGACTCAATATATTGGGCTCCAGTAGGTCAAGGCCTCTTCTAAAACCCCCACCAGATGGTGAAGTGGTGGCTTCAGTGCCCCTCAAAGCCTGGCTGTCCTCCACCTTCCCTTCAGGCCCACGAGGGTCATCTCTGTCCAGCTGGGCAAATGAGCACGGCAGGCTTTCCAGCATGGGACAGGCTTCAGGAAGAATGAATTTGGACTTGGGGGGAAGTGGGATGGGGAAGATAAATACTCAGGTGGGTTTCTTCACACCTTAGTTCAGTGCATTCTCACTCCAGTGCCCCAGGAAAAAAGCAACCTGTGCCCCAAGGCTGGAAGGAGAGGAGTGCAGGCTGTATAAGGAACCTTTCCTCCTCCAGCCCTTGGGGGCAGGAACCTTTCCTCACTCCAGCCCAGTCTGCCTCCCTGGGCCTCCTGCTCCACAGCTTATCTTGAGCTATAAAATTCTTGAATGAGACAGTTGACAGGGATCAGAGAACACTAGACATCAGAGCTAGAAGGGATGGCAGAATATAAAACATTGGAGTTGGGAGGGGTATTAGAATATGGAATTAGAACTAAAAGGGCCTTAGAACACAGAATGTCAGAGCTGGGAGGGGCCTTAGAACTCAGAATGTCAGAGC